GGAGTATTCTCCACAGAGGGGCAGAGGGGGAGAGAGGGGGGGCTTGGTTTCCTGGCAACACAGGGGGGAAAGAAAGGGAAGGCAAGGTAAGCATGCCCTCTCAGCTTCCATAGTTTAGAGGCATTCTGGGACAGGAAAAAGTTACAAACTTCCGTGTTGGAAAGAAGGGTTCTCTTCTCCCAACCCCGTGCTTTCCTGGGCTAAAGAAACTTCAAGCAGCTGGAAATGCCAGCGGGGTCCTCTCTTTGCTCTATCCGGCCTCTCGTCATGGAGCTGAGGAGAGAAACTTCAGTAACCATGGTAACTTGACGCCAGGTAAACAGTTTGGAGAAAAAGAAGCTGGGGGTGGGGGGAGAATCACAACTAAAAGATGGGAAAAGATACATTTCAGGCTATCAACTACAACACTGGTGGGGCGGCACCAAGGAGGCACAGGGTGCACCACATCTCAGGCCTTTTGTCAGTCAGGGTTGCAGTCCAGTGTACTCAAGGTGGTCCAGTTGATCCAAAACAACAGCCCCCTCGACTCTGGCTCGCAGCCCTAGAGACTGAGGACTTGAAAGGCACAAGTTGAGCAATGCGTGTTCTTTCAGGGACAGTGAGGGGAGGGGTGGGAGTGGAAACCATAGCACTGACATTCAGGACATAAATCTGTCCTGAATAATCAGCATCGGTAAGTCCCAGATGCACAATGATGCCCTGAAGGGTCGCACTCTATCTTCCCATTAGGAAAGCACTCTTACCCTTCCCCAGAGGTCCAAAGGCATCCAAAGGAAATCTATGCACTTCGCAAGAGTTCAGGACTACTGTTGTTGCTGTGCAGACATCAAGTCCAGCTGGCCATGAGCCTCTTTGTGAGGTCACAGCATCTCTGCGATCCTGCCCCTTAGACGTCACAGAAACAGAGACAGGCATCTGGCTGGAGCTTGCCTCTCCTGTACCAGACTGTCTGTTCCTGGCAGAACCTGAAAAATAAAGTGTCTCCAATTCCCCTAAATCTTTCAAGGACTTCCCAATCCTCCATCTCCAAGGCTTTTTCCTTTACCTCGTCCCAAAACATTCTGGGGTCTCTGGGATGGACTGTGACCTGGCATGGGGGGAGTGTCCAATGCGGACTGAAGTGGGGGCTGTCCCGGTGTCCTCCACTCCAAGCAGACACTCACCCCGATGAGCCAGCATGACTGTGAGTCCCTGTGGTAAAAAAGGGAGGCTTGTTCGCTCCTGCCCCGGCACCCGCGGCAGCCGGGGACGCGCCTCCCACCACATCCGCCGCCAGATCCGAGGCAGCTCCGGCATTCGAGCTTTGCTCGCCGGGGGGAAGGGCAGCATTGGCTGAGACCCGCCCCCACCCCGGCCTGCCGCTGATCCCAGCGCCGGGAGGGCTCTGGCAGGGCTCATAAAAGCGGTAGCGCGGCCTCCGTGGGCGGCACCAGCCCTTGGCAGCCCCAGCCGCCGTCGAAGTGACCGGGGGGAGGCTGCGGCGTCGCTCGCTCCACTCGCCTCGCTTGTGTTCCCCGCAGCATCGCTCGTGCCAGCTTCCCCCCACGTGGCGGGGGGCGCCCGCAGGGGATCACAGCGGCGCTGACCGAGCCGGCACACTGTTTGCGGCTGGCCCCGGCCCGGCCGCGTTTCCACATGTGCTGGGTGCGGGGCCGTTCCCATCGGCCCCTGCAGCCACGGCGGTGGCGGCAGCCAGACGCGCGACACCGTCCACTCCGGGCGCGGAGCCACCGCTGCCACCCCCAGCGGTCCCGGCGGTCGGACGCACGCTATCCCCCCACCAAGCATGGCCGACACCATCCCCTTTGGACATCAAATCAATTAACGTCCCGATTGTGCTGGCCAGAGCAGGCACATGCGCAGTGGGTCCGCTCCCAGCAGGGCTGTGGGTGGGAAGCGGGCGAAACCCCGCCTGTCCCCATGCCCGCGACGTCCAGCCGCGGGAGGGGAATTAGAGCTGCTACTCCACAATTCATACACACCATGGACAGGGGTCGGAACAATCCTGCCGGCACTGCTGGCAGAGCGGGAGCCGCCTGTGCTCCCTCTGTTAGCGTTCAGGAGCACATAATCACAGAATGATTATATGAAGGTCTTAAAAACGAGATTCACTTAATAATTTATAAAAAGAATTTAATATAAATTAAAAGACAATTAGGAGACATAAGAAATAAAGCAAAGGGTTAAAACGGCCGGGTGCCTTGGCGCGCTGCCAAGAGCACACCTGGTATCCTATGGATACCCCTTTTATCCCATCCTTGCTGTGAGGGGTTAATGCATATTCAAGCATGTCCCCTCCCTGCTTCCGCCTTCTTAGATCATGCTTCTGCACAGTCTCAGTTTCTGCTTGTCATCATTATTCTAGCTGGTCAGCATTCTTTTGGGGTCTGGTTTCCTTGTCTCTGCAGATGGTCAGTTGTTGATAAGAGTCTGGGCCCCTCATCCTTCTTCTGAGGGCAGCTGAGCTTATCTTTCCCCCCTGCCCACGTCCTGGTGCCGGTTTTTTTTTTTTTTTTTGATAACAGTTTGCTCTCCCTTTCCTGCTGCTGATAACAGCCTGTTTCCCACAGCTTGATCCTCCCATTGTCTTGCCTTGTCCGGATGAAACATATCTTTATTATTCAGAATTCCTACCTAAGCCTATAACTTACTAAGAGAGAAAAGAATATAGTGAAAGCATATAATATATATTTATCAGAATAATTGTGAAAAGCCAATATTTACAACATGAATTCACAACAAAGGTGCTTTATTAAAGAGCTCTGGGCGTCAGGGGTACACATACCCAAATCTGACCCCACTTGGTTTCGAGCTGAACATATTTTTATACTCTATCGTTATATAACTTACATATTAATTGATATAAATAAGCCCTACCTGCAGTCCATGTTTCGCAAGTGTTCTCTCCAGCCTCTGTTCCAGGTTCTGAGACGGTCCGGATCTGGGCCCGTGCCGAGCTGTTCCTCGTTACTCCTATCCGGAGCCGCCGGCCAGGTTTTGCACGTGTTCTTTCCAGCCTCTGTTCCAGGTTCCAAAGTATACCGATTCTGGGTTCCATGACGAACTGTTCCTTGTTACCCTTGTCCTATGACGACCGGAGTTAAGAGACTTCCCAACATGGCGACCGGAGACTTCCCGAAACGGCGGCCGGGGAGGAGGATTTCCCAAGGTGGCGATCGGGGCTTATGCAAATCAGCTACTGAAAAACACCACCTCGGACAAAAAACCCGATCTATGAGGCATCGGAACACTGAACAAAGAAACTGAGAGCGGTGCCCTAAGGTCGGGATCAAAGGACACTACCCACCAACTCCGCTTTCCTCGCCATGACCGCGAAGAGACTCGCTAGGGATGACACCCCTGGACTTTCAAGCCGAAATGGACTCTGAGTTTATCCGTGAGGACTGAGATCCCGGCTTTGCTTACATTGCACTCCGTAGGAAGAGTCACATTCTTCCTTCTCTGAGCTGCTTCAGGGAGTGAGGGTGCTGTGCGCGCGACCCGTCGGGCCCCTACCCCAAGTTGATTCTAATAAAGCCCTTAAAACAAGAGAAGGTTTCCTGGCCGTGTTTTTTTCATTAATTCCGAGACTTATGTTGTTCTATTGTATACATTGAGACTTATGTTGTTCTACTGTATACATTGATTCCATCCAAGCATGGATTTCTCGTGATCCCACTCAAACCCCTAACATAGTTTCTCATGATTCTTTAAACAATAATTATACCTAATCACATCTAGCAATTATATCATTTATCATATACTGACTACACAGGTGCAGTTTCACATGATCTTAGCAAGTACAAGGCCTAACTTTTCCCAGGACTTGCCAAGCCTTTCTTCCTAAGTCCCTGAATTTTCTATGATTTTAAAATCTTTTACTATCATTCCCTCCTCTGAATAAATTTTGACTTCACTGTAAGTTCAAATGCTTTCACTTGATGCAGTCCTTTGTTTCTGAGTTCATACTTGATGTTCTTCAAATCCATGATTGATGTAAATGTTGTCCTGTATGCCGTCATTCACTGGAGAACCAGAAGATGATGGATGTGGGTCTCGTGTTAATGCCTTTATTATTTTCCGGTTCCAGGACATTTTCTTCTGTATTTCTCCCTTTAAGATGCTGTAAACTAACCGAATTGCTAAGAATACAATTAGTAAGATTATCATACTCTCAATGATAGATTTAATCCATGAACTCACATTCCACCCTAACCCTTTGAAGATTTTACCTAACCAACTTGTAGTCAAATCCTTTTGCTCTTCCTGTGTTTCATACTCTATTTGTTGCAACTAATTGATGTCCTATTCTACATCTGCAGTTACATTTGGGATGTGGATGCAACAATGATCAATCTGTTCCTTTAAAAACCCACACACTCCATGCTCTTTCAGGAGTAATCGATTTTGTAAAGTCATTTTTGTGGTGGCTTGTAACTGTACGTTTAGTTCTTTAAATCCTTCCTGGGTGACTCTTGCCGGTCTATCTACCTGACCTGTAAGTTTGTACAACATTTCTCTATTCTGATAGTTTGCTATAGGACCGAGCAAAGACTTTAGGGCCTACACAAATTTCACTCTACTAGAGGATTCTTGCCAAGTGTCATCCTGATTCTATTCTCATCCTAATCTTTCCTAGCTGTGCCTGTGTTTAGCCACAGGGTTGTTTTTCAAGCAGATCTCACATTTTGACATTACGGATTTTGCCATTGTTAGCATCTGTACCGAGATTAATTTTTGCTTTAGCAATTTTACTGATGCCTATGCACCCCAGTAACATTTGTTATGTTTAATTTGTAGAACTTCTCTCATTCTTAAGGGAGGTAACACTATTTGTCCTTGTGCAGTTACATACCACCCTTCTGAATTCTTTTGTGCATTTAAAAAACGTCCCAGTTTCACATCTTCTACTGAATATTTCAGTTTTGGAGGCAAGTTGAATTGAAATGCATTAACTTTTAAAGGTATCAATGCCATTGCTGTTTGCACTGCTTGAGCAACCTGTTTAGCTGTCCAGTCTGCCTTTCGATACCCCTCACAAATTTTGGAGTTTCCTGATTGGTGTGCTTTACAGTGTATAACTGCTACTTGTTCAGGTTTCTGTACTGCTTTTATTAATTGCAGGACTGCATCTTGATGTTTAATGTGCATGCCTTGAGAAGACAGCAGTTCTCTTTCTTTCCACAATGCCCCATGTACATGCACCACTCCAAAAGCTTATTTTAAATCAGTCCATATATTTACTTTCTTCCCTTCACTCAGCTGTAACGCCCTGGTTAAGGCAACCAGTTCTGCTCGTTGGGCAGATGTGTTTGCTTCTACCACTGCACCTACTGTTGTTACCACATATCCAGCGTATCTGGTCCCATTCTCCACAAAACTGCTTCCATCTGTAAACAGCTCCCAGTCTAGCTGTTCTAGTGGGATGTCTTTCAGATCTGCTCTAGCCAAACAGGTGTGTTCTATCACTTCCACACAATCATGTTCCAATAGGCCTTCTTGAACTGTTGTACCTAGAAACAAGGCTGGATTCAAAAGGTTAGTTGTTTTCAATGTTAGATCATCCTGCTCCTTTAGAACTACCTGGAATTTCATCATTCAACTTGGGGTTAGCCAATGGCCCCCCTTTTGTTCTAAAACAGTGGTTACCATATGTGGCACGTAGACATCTATGTGTCTACCCAGAGTGAGTTTTCTAGCTTCTTCTATCAGCATCACAGTGGCTGCAACTGCCCGCAGGCATGAAGGCCATCTGGCACTCATATTGTCAAGTTGTTTGGAAAAGTAGCCTACCGACCTTCTCCAGCTTCCCAAAGGTTGGGTGAGTACTCTCAGTGATAGGTGCAGTCTTTCATGCACAAACAGGTGAAAATCTTTGGACAAATCATGTAATCCTAATGCCAGAGCAGTTGTCAATGCCTCCTTCAGTTTGAGGAGGACCTCCTTCTGTGATTTGCCCCAGGTAAACGGCTGCGTCTTCTGGGCTTCATACAAGGGTTTTGAAATTAGTCCATAGTCCATGATCCACAGGTGGCACCACCCTGTCATCCCAAGGAAAACTCACAGCTCATGCAGGTTCTGGGGTTCTGGAATAGCACAAATAGCTTGAATATGATTAGTACTCAGCTTACATTGCCCTTGTGAGATTTCACATCCCAGGTAAATCACAGTTTGCCGGGCAGTTTGTGCCTTTTCTTTAGACACCTGTTGTGGCTTTAAAGCAGCAACTAAAAAAAAATTACTAGAAAACTTACTTATTTCTTGCTGTGAGATATGGATTAGAACAAGAGCAAAACAAGTTTAAAACTTAAAAGGAATAAAGAAAGTTTATTAACAAAAACTGCAAGAATAAGAAACCAGAATAAAACTTCCAGAAAACCCTTATCTTCCCCACTACCCAACCATTCTTTTGTTCACATGACAACATAGAGACAAAAAACTTAGGTGTTTAAAACAGTCCCAATTCTTGTTAGAGTCTTCTCATCAATTTTGTAGAGAAACAGAAGTCTTCTTCTGATAATTTATGGAGTTTTTTCACAAGAAACTATTTTCTTCATAGCTTTTTATTTTTCTGATGCCAGCTGCCCAAAAATCTGCTATCAGTTTATTCCTCCTATTTCACATCACTCTGAGGTGTGTTATGGGTCAAATGGGTCTAGGGATGTCATTTTTGAGGATGAGTTATTCAAAGGCAGAAGTTCTTTTCATCTGTCTTTGTGAGCTTTCCTGGAAACAGAAGTTTTCTCTTTGCTTATCAAGGCCACAAATCTTCAACTATTACTTCTCCT